TACATTACTCCACCGTTCGACACACGACATGAAAAGACACGAATAACACTTACTATGGTACTAAAACGCACATGAGTGATATCTTTGCGACATTTATTTCGGGATAGTGCTTTTACATCACCTTTTAATTTCAGCGTTAAGAAGAGTTTCACACCTTTATTATCGCGAAAGTTATTGAAAGGATTTAACTTTTAGTGACGTTTACCAATAACGAACTAAAATATAGATATCTAATAGAGAGAATGGAACCATCTTGTCCTTCCTACTTCAACTGAACCGTTTCCGCTGTTTTCTCTCGGTCATTCGCGTATAATATTTAAGAACGTTTCATTTAAGACCTTTTTTCCAAAATTCTTTAATCTACGAAAGACACACGTGTTGTCTTATACGGCTCATGTATGTAAAATTCACACGCAGACAGTCAGTCACATTCATAAACCAACACATTCTCACCACTGTTCGTACAACTCACTAACACTAGAGAATGGTACGTCCGATGAACAATACTCAGCAGTATAGCAGAGTGGTGCTCTCCCGTTCTCACTAACCGAGAGACCGAGGAGCTTGAATTAGTCCGAGTCGAATACTGAATAGTGCAGATCGAAAGACAAGGTCAAAAAGAAGAGTCAAGTGAGGAGACTTTTAGTTAGTGTGTGTCTTTATTCCCCGTTTCAGACTTTCTACTTTAGTTTGGGAACTACAAATAATTACAAAAATAAACGGCCGTCAATAAAAAGGGTAAACTTTACATAAGATATTCGTCCAAAAAGGTTAACACCTATAAAGAAGCAGAGCACTAAAGGTATTCAACAGCGGTAGCGAAACGTGAGGCAATCGACGAGGCGGAAGGTTTGTCGAACTGTTGCAAGTTGAAAACTTCGAAGCTGCCTTCGCAGTCGGTTAGTTTAGGTATGACGGTCATGTTCGAGATCGGTTAGTTTTGCGCACGAACACCACAGGCCCCGCCCGTCTAAGTCCGTTAACCAACAAACCAGCTCAAAGTGCGGGGTGGCTTTTCGAAGTTGCGTGCGGGGCACACCTGCGACGCAATGTGTTCGATGGAACATTAATAATTAACAAGTATTGAAATAAGGAAGGGAAAGAAAAATACTTACAAATACATACACTACAGAATAAAAAACTACAGAAATGACAAACCGAAACATTAAGAAAGTTTTGAGAAACATTTAAGGTAGAGGAAAATTCTCTCGTCTTGTATTTGTTTAAATAAAAAGAATATTACTCCTCCATTTTATTAGGGACAAACTCCTAAATTGAATCCTTCGTTCTTCTGAGTGGGACGCGAGTGATTTAGGTCCGGCAACAGGACTAGAAGTCAAAAAAGGAGAAACCTCATTTTTTGACTGGCACGGCAGTCATGTGTTTACATACTTCTTTAGTTAGTCGGTTTCTCTATGTTTACACATGTTATTTGTTATGTACGGTTGCATTTATAAACAAAGAATTTCACGGAACAAAGATTTCTATATTTACTTAAGGATGCAGGGGACTACGAAGAGTCTTCATAGCCGTCACCAAATTAACAAAACCTCCAACAGGGTCGACCGTCTCTCCAGAAGCACACATATTCAGCATAACTGGGGGCAGGAAAGAAGTCAAAACTTCCGGTTTATACAGACTTCTCATGTAGGTGGAGGTAGCCTCTCCAGTGTCGACGGGTGGTAACCGGGGTACGAGGAGTTAAGAGAGACCCTTCTCTTTGACCGTCGGCATAAGGACGCCGGCTAGGTGTGCTGAACCCTCGAGGTACTGGAGTCAGTTCTCACCGAGCTACTATGGTGGCTCGTTTAGCCTATATGAGGTAGGAAAACCGAGGGAGATACTCGGGTGGTGACTGTTTTCGATACATGTCGTGATATCGCTACGGGACTTGAGTTGTCGTGTATGTGGCCCGGACTCGGTACTGTTACTTAGACTCCTCCTTGTTCGCTGTACTCGTATAGGAAGTGCAACAGTAGGGAGTAGTTACAGAAGTCTCAAATTGTCTTTCATATCTATCAGTCGTTCTCCTTGTTGGTAACTATGTAGCTTTCCGAAATAGGGAGGTCTAACAGTGAGAAAAGGCAGAAGAGGAAACAGACGGCACGGAGAGAGGGGCTCAGTCTCGGGTCTATACGACTAGAGCAAGAGTTGCTTTCGAACAAATCTCTTAAAGGGGACCTATCATGCAAANCTTTAAAATCAGCTGTGGTCTAGAGAGAATAATCGGTAAGGTAACAAACGTAACAGCAACACAATATTCGTCTTAAAAGCAATAAGGAAAGTATAAAAGATCCTTATTGCTTTTAAGACGAATATTGTGTTGCTGTTACGTTTGTTACCTTACCGATTATTCTCTCTAGACCACAGCTGATTTTAAAGCTGCTACGACAATAGCCAATCAGATGTCTCCTCAATTCTAAGCCAATCACATGAGCGCGCCCCCACGAGGGGTAGATTTCTTGCGTTCATGACGTAGCGCTTCATGTACGCATTTTGCGCAATCCGGAGCTGACAGGTCCATGGAGCCTGCCTGCAGGCGCTGATCTCGGGACACCTCCACTCTCAGTACATTGCCACTTTCCGAACAGGAAATGCACGCAAATACAAGCCTTCATAATATTAAGGTACATCTCCACTTTCCGAACCATTGATGAATGCTTGTGTGTACACAAAAACGGCAGGCAAAACCGCTTTAAATGTGTGTTTCCTGTATGGCGAATACAGCTGCTTTATTTTATGTCTGTATGAAGTTGTTGTGAGTGTGGACCGAGCAGCTACAGGTTAGCTTAGCCTAATCGATCAGTGCACTGCGAAGCCAGTGCTAGACAGTGAACTGTCAACGCGGGGAGCCCCACCGGTCATTATTAACAGGAGAGCTGGATCTGATCGATATGGACATAAACGCGAGTGAAGTATAACCGGACGCGAGAGAGAGATCAGATCAGCTGCTGAGTCTGACGGAGACACGCAGCTCCGCATGATCACCTGATGCTCCGCCCTCTGTTTAGCGAGCCGACCGGACTGCGCAAAATGCGTATATGAAGTGTCATGAACGCAAGAAATCCTTCCCTCGTGGGGGCTCGCTCATGTGATTGGCTTAGACTGGAGGAGACATCTGATTGGCTATAGAAGAGATAAATTACAAGTACGAATCGGGTGAGCGTCAGGGGAGTCTCAAAAAACCCAAACACGAATGCACAGCGATCCATGCAGAAAGCGGTTTGTTTTCGCAGGTTCAGAGGTTTTAAACGGAAAACAAATATGTGTGGATCAAAAATACATGTAAAACTTTTTCCTGTGTTTGGATAATATTTACATGTAGGCCTACGGAACACATTTGTGTGTGCATTGAAAAACCCTTTTGCGGATCATGAAATACAAGTGTGAATCCTTCTGTGTGCATATGTGTATTATGAGACTGTTCTGAGCCCATACAGAACAGTCTCATAATACACACATGCTATTGCTTTGTTTCATGTTGCTGCTGCTCGCCTGCCCCACCACCACCCCAGCTTCCACCTGTAGGCTCGGGGGATAGTTATCTAATCATCACTCAATGTTCTTTGTAAATCTGTGGAGTGATGCCCGAGCCTAGACGCCAAACTATATGCTGCTTATAATAAACATATTAAGAAACACGTGAGTTATCTGACTGAAATAAGGATAATACAAAATAAATACTTTTAAGAAACAATTTAGCATTGAAAAAGGATGCTAAAGACAAGTATTTACACCAAATGTAAATGTAACTATACAAATAACCTTAAAAGCTAATAAACAAAACACTTAGGATAATGAGTATGTACGGCAAACTACAGTGTATTATATTTTAAAGTGGAGGACTGTGCCAAAAGGTGCAAAAAGCTGGTGGATAATTCCTTATATGTATTATAGCGCTTTTTTCCATGACCCAAAGCGCTGTACAGATACACATACATATCAGACATACATGTAATGGTCATGTACTGTGGACAATACCCACAGGAGCAAATTCAGGTGAAGTGTCTTGCCCAAGGACACAACGGCTTTACAGACGCAGGGGCGGGTTTCGCCCCCTTGATCTGATGATCAATGCACAGCCCACTGCGCCACACCGCCCGTCTTCACACCTCAAAGTCATCGAGGCGAAGTACACATTAATATCATACATGTGCTGTGGACAATACCCACAGGATCCATGATGGATACAAAGTCACTGTCAGTGGGGGTCCCGGACAGCGTTGCTGACTTGGCGAATTTCTCGCTAAATCTGGCGAATTTCCAGTTATTTCCCACTGTGTTTTTCCCCACTTTTTGTGGCGTCCATTACAACTACATGCAAATGGCTAAATATGCAAATTAGACGATTGCGTCATTTAGCGACTTCTAGTGACTTTTGGGACAGCCAATAGCTAGCCCACTTCCTTACCATGGAGTTGGCAACACTGGTCCCGGGCCTTGTTGATGAGGCCATTGGGGATTCATAAAGGTAAGGGAGGCTGTGGCACAGCGGACTAGTGTGTTAGTGTTGGGATCAGGGGGTCACAGGTTCAAACCCCACTGCAGTCAGCATGTCGTTGTGTCCCTGAGACACTTCACCCCAAATTGCTCCTGTGGGGTTTGTCCACAGTATTGAGTATGTAAGTCACTTTGGATAAAAGCTTCTAACAAGTAACATGTAATGTAATGTAACCGTTCATATCTTCCAGGTGGTGATTCTGCTGAACGTGGCCGGCCTGATGGTGCGCTGGCTCTGGAGAAGAGGTCTGGATCCGGATAACTTCTCCATCCCGTACCTCACGGCTCTGGGAGACCTGCTGGGGACCGGCTTCCTGGCTCTGAGCTTCAGACTCATCCAGATGTTCAATTCTTCTGGGACTTGAGTTTGAAACAGACTCCCTGAGGGCATTGTTCTCTGTATGCAAGTGGATTAAACACACTTGCAACAAAGTCATTAGGTTTGAGAAGGAAGGTGCTGATTGAAAAACAAAGGAAGTTAGTATGCTGTTATATTTGTGCCTCAAAACTGGGCATCCAAATTAGATTTTCTTTCCTGAAAAAGGATAGAATTGTATTTATTTATAGCATTTTGCACGGATAAACTGAGATGATTTTGCTCAGAATATGCCTTTGTGCTCTGGATTGAGGCAATGTGTAACTATGTAGTGGAAAAATTGCTGAAAACAAGACAGAATATGGTGATGAAAGTGTGGACTTTTGATTTCTATATTTGCTAAATCACAGTGCAGTAGTTGTACTCTGAACCAACCGATACCCTCCAGCTTTGCTCAGTAGAAACAACAAGTTGGATTACTGTAGAACAGCTGTTACCTGTCGACACATCTGTAAACCTATTGTCAGTCCCTATGGTTCAGGTGTTTTGTAGTGAGGTTGTATGAGGTACTAATCCATAGTCAGTGTCTAACAGACAGTAGAGGTGGTCAGCAAGGTCAAATATGGAGAAGCAGACAAGAGTTACGGCACATAAATCATTGCCACCTAAAAAACTATTATTTTAAATGTATGATTTAATATCTTCACCTCTTTACCGACAGGGAACTGAACTGGTTTTCTTAAAAAGACCCTTAGACAGAGGGTGAAAACAGGTGTACAGGCAGTACGAGAACAATAAAGAGCTTTTTAAACATTAAAGCGTGGAGACATGAGACACTACATACACATATGAACCTAACCATGTGCTTAATAGGGCCCTTTGGAAGTGATATTGATCATTTTAGGCTGAATTAGGTTTTTGTTATGCTCCATATGTCCTCCTGTAAATGTTTAATGTACTGCGTCTTTAAAGCGCTTTACAAAACACACTTTCACCCACTGATGGCAGAGACCACCAGACAAGGTGCCACAGTAGCTTAAGCTAACGTGTGTCCATGCATACTATCTAGAGTTTGTGAGACAGAGGGATCACACACACACACACACACACACACACACTCTGTCTCTCACACACACACACACTCTGTCTCTCACACACACACTCTCTCTGTCTCTCACACACTCTCTCTCTCTCTCTCTCTCTCTCTCTCTCTCTCTCTCTCTCTCTCTCTCTCTCTCTCTCTCTCTCTCTCTCTCTCTCTCTCTCTCTCTCTCTCTCT